CCCAGCCTGTGGGGCAGCTGTGTTGGTGTTTCCCTGCTTCAGAAACTTGCTGGGGGATAAATGCATCGAAGCCAGCGAGGTGTTTGGGTGCTGTGGCTCTGTGGGTGGCAGAGGAGAGAGGTATGAAATTTTTTTACTGTCTGAGACCTTTCAAATTGCCTGCCTATGTCAGAGGCCATAAGGGCAGCTCAAATCTTTGAAGATGACCTGCAAATACAGCAGCAGCAGCTGCAAGTGGGGCCATTCCTCCACCCTTTGATCAGACAAAATTGGCAGCCAAAGGAAAAAGAGGTATAGTCAGGTCACAAGTGCCTTTCAGTTCCTCGTATTCCTTATATAAAAGGGCTGGAGAACCTCCTCATGTCTGTAAATCAGCACATAAAAATAAAGTGTGTGAAACGGAGCAGGGCAAGTCCTCCTGCCTCAGATGGGAATTTCACTCCTGCTACAGCACCCAATGCAGTCTGGCTGCGTTTCTGATAATGTATTTGTGGATCACCTTGAGGAGAAGAGGGGGAGTTATACAACTGTTCCCTCACAGTGCTGTTGGAAAGGGTCGGGCTTTGTCTCCTTTGAAATAGATATCAGGAGAGAGCTGCAATGCTGTGAAAGCACACATTTATTTCTGAAGTGTTTGTGTATTGTGTGTGTGTGGTGCACACGAATAGAATTGCCACCTGTCCGGGGCTGATAAGGACGAGCARTGGTCATGTTCTTGCAGTTTGCTGTGAGAGGAATCGGCGCCTACAGCTCCCCTCAGCCTGAGTTCATGAAATGCTGCTTGCGAGGAGTTGTTTCACCATTTGTGGCACTTTCTGAGCTTGCATRGATGTGGATTTGTTAGAGATTTTGCTATAATGGATACACTGCTAGCTGTGCCTTCTGAAAACCCCTTYACCTATTTTTTCCTGCCTTGCTCTCTCAGGAAGATCCCACTGGTTATCTGATTCCTTTAGGAATCCACACATGGCGCTGCTTTCCTTCATAACCTCGGCCTGTGAGTGGGCAAAGTGACAAGATTGTGGTACCCACGTGCTTTGGGCACGGAGCAGAGGAATCTGCTCTGTGTTTCCATTGCACCCAGCAGGGAACTCGTCCTTGTGGTGGGGCTGCTGCCATCCTTCCATCCCACAAAACTTCCCTGCAGCAGCAGCTGAGCCTTGCCAAGTGCAAGGATGGATTCCAGAGCTTTGCTGATAGGGGTGAGGATATGTAGATACGCCAGTAGGTGGAAATTCTCTGATACATCATAACAGCAATAATAATAATAATAATAATAATAATAATAATAATAATAATAATAATGTACACTTACACTGCCTCACAGCTTTCTCTAGAACTTCTGCCCACGCACCAGCCTACTTGGTTCACAATGCAGTGTGCATGCTAGACAATTAGTGGCTGATAATGAAAAATGTCATGGGAACCAGCAGGAAAATCATAGCTTACTCCAAATATATAATGAAATGCAATTAGCACAGACAGCAAAACAGACAATTTATGGTTTCTTTTTTTCTTTCATAATTAAAAAGTACCAGTAAACATCCCTTTTTCAGGAAGTTTGGTATCAAATGAAATTAAAGTACTATTGTCTGGAATAGTATTTTATGTAGAATTTAACCCTTGCACAGCAGAATGGATTAAAGACTCTCCAAGTCAGTCCACTCTGGAGCTTCTTGTGCTCATTCCCCTGGCCCTGGTCTGTCAGGAGAGGCCATGTCTCATGACAGAACTGCTGTGGAAYCTGCTAGAAGCCAAAACCCAGCTGAATTCAGTGCATGTAACAGTGTGGCCAACACTTCTTTCCTGTTCTCCTGGACAGACTCGCTGTAGTGTGTGGGTGGCTTTGAGGAGAGGTTGGAGCAGGAGCAGCATTGTGATTCCTTGTGCTTCCTTGTGTCCTCTCAGGTCTCTTCTGTTGGCCTCACTTCTTCTTTGATCTTCTCTCTTCTGCCTTGGGGACCCTCACACTGCACCAGATTTGTTTTTGAGCAGTGGACAAGGAGTGTGTGCAGCGGTGTGGCCTTGACCTGCCAGGAGAACAAACCCCAATTCTTGGCTTGTGCTTTCACCCAGAGCAGCAAGGATGAGTGGAGCCACCGAGGCACTGCACAAAGTGTCTGTGGCATTAATTTCTAGGCTGAAAAATGGCAGCCATGCATGAGCTCCATTGCCTTGGGCTGCAGCAGTCCCAGCCACCTCCTCTCAGCTGGACAGATCATCTTTAGGAGAGATGGGAGAGGTGCTTGGTGCCCCCAGTGAAGGGAGGTGAGGGATCTCAGTCTTTTTTGGCAGCTGGMTGATGGTCTTTTCCGTACAGGAAGAATCTGTGCAGTCCCTTCTCTCTGTTCTCCCAAATGCTCTGCCTCTCTGTGGACAGGTTTTAGTACTTGGCTTTGAAAAATTTCTCCTGGAAGTTGATGCTGGGCCTTTTGTGAGCTTTGACGGGTGGTGCCTTTAATATTATTGCCCTAAGGAATAGGGGAAGCCTGAAGGATTGTCCCAAGTCCTATATCATTGAGCTACTACCTTCTTGCTCCTCTGTATCTGACAGAGGGATGAGAATTAGATGGGCAATAATGCTGCTGTGCCAGTCTGAGCTCCCTCAGACCAAATACATGGCAGGCAATTATTAGTCTCCATTCTTTCCTCTGGGATGCCTGGTTTAATCAAAGATCTGCTTTTTCTTCTGGGATTTTGCAAGGTACTGTGAAGATCTGTTGGGGAAAAGGGGCACTTCGGGCATTTTCTCTGGCTGGGGGAGGTTGAGCAGCATTTCAGAGTATTAATAATTTATATTTGAAAATAATGGTGGCTTGCTTGTGCCCTATATCAGAAGGGAAAACCCTGGTGTCTCTTTGGGCTCACTGAGATTTTTATGAAATGAAATAAATAGTAACAGTGGTGTCCATGCTGCACACATCCTCTTGGGTGCTGACATGTGGTGATCCCACATGTTTCCTATGTAAGACAGAGAATTATCCTTCTTCCTGCTTATTGTGTGCTCAGGAACAAGGCAAGTCAGTTAGGGCACCTAGCCAGGCTTTCATGTATATTCTGGGGTTACAGCTACTTTGATTTATACTCATCTCCTTTGATTTATCCTTGGCTCCAGCAGCCACTTAATGGTGACTTCAGCAGCTGAAAATAGCCAGAGTCAATGTCTCACTCAGCCACTCTCCCATCCCCAGCCCTGCTCCCTGGGTTGAGGTGTGAGCAGAAAATAGGTCTGAGATGTGCCTGCCAAATTATCTGGGGAAGTTATGGCATCGAATTGCAGCGCTGGCAGGGAGACCCACTGCCTTCATGGACTTGCTGATGTGCTGGTGTGACACCAGGGGAGCATAGAAATAATGGCCAGAGTTAAAGGACAGGTTGGATGGTTAAASGACAGTGTGGAAGGTGTCCCTGTCCATGCCAGCAGGATTGGAACCAGGTGGTGTTTAARGTCCCTTCCAACCCAAACTGTTCTGTGATYCTKTGAAGTGTCTGTGCCTSTGCAGAGCAGAGCAATGYRAGTGCAGACCTCACCTTGCTGTCATTTAAGCTGCTGTGACTCAGTGAATATTTCTGTTCCTTCCTTGGGCTGGGGTGAGGAAGGTCAGAGCCACCTCCAGAGTTTGTGTAACACATGTTCCTCTGGGTTCAGTCTCAACCACTCGTTTGTGGGCTGCTGCTATGCACTGGTGATTTTTGTTTCCAATTGAGACATGCTGGTTTGTATTAATTTAAGTTTTTTTGAATCACCTAGACTGTAGTCATACAGTGCACTATCAGGGCTTTAACTGGAGGCAGTGTAGTTCTTCCAGCCCAAGTCTTTGGCTGAGTCAAGTCTTATAAATCCCCAATGAGATGTTTCACAGGCAGGGCTGGCTCTGTTTACATCCCTTCATCCTGCTCATCTCATCTGTGAGCTGCAGCTCTGTAAACCCAGGCATCCCTGGTGTGCCACTGCTGCTGCTGATGTTTCATTTTTATGGGGTCTTTGACTTGAATTGAGCAGCTGAACTTTACCCCTTCCTGGTGAAGTAATTACCAGAATAACAAGCCRATTTTTTTTTGCAGATGACACTGGAAGTTTTTGACACGTGTGCCCTTGCCACCCGCGTCAAGTGATGTATGCAGTGTTTGTCCCTTGTTTTGGCATTTTGATATGTGTGAGAGAGGTGAAATGGCTTTAAAAGCTTTTTGCTGGCGCCTGTGGTTTGTTGCAGACCCAGTGGTACAGGCAGAACGTGATAAATTGAAATTTGACCATTTCTTTACAGCTTGACATAAGGATGTTGATGTACAGGGCTGGGACATCAGCAAGTGCAAAACCACTGTGCTCATTACCTGTGGCCAAACCTGACACTCGAGGAGCTAAACTGAATTACCTGAGCTGGAGGCTGATTTCTTATTTTGCCCAGAAAATAATGGTAATTATATAGTACAGTAATATACTTCTTACTTAAGGGTAAAGTGGCAGTTGAATGAGGATTATGGGCTATACATTAACCTGGTTCTTAGTAAATGTAAATGTAATGAAGTTAGTGAGCACCATTATGTGTAATCTGATTGTTTTAAAGAAAACACACAAATTGCAAAGAAGGTGTTGGGGCCTTGAAGACCAGCTACTCTTTCTTGGCTGAGTCCTTGATGTAGTATAGATGAAGAATGTTTCTCTTGGAGCTGGTGGAATTCTGCATTCATATGAAGGTTAAAACGAATTAAACTTACTAAAATGAGTTAGTGTCTTTCCTAGTGTTGAAATTCATCATGTGACAGAAACTAAGGCTTGAGCTGGAACTGAGTCTGTGTGATTTACATCCTTAGTACACAAGTATCCAATTAATATAAGTATCCAAGTTCTGCTGGGTTCCATTTCCATTTCTTCTGTGGAGGGGCTGGGGAAGCAGAGCCACRGATGAAGCTGTGCTTAAATCCCATCTTTCCCCAGGCAGTTTTCTCCTGCTTGTGCTGATGTTTTCTTTCTGCCTTTCTGTTCCTAGCTGCTCCTGAGGCCRCTGGGGTTTTGTCTGCAGTTGGAGTCTTCATTATCCTCCCTGCAGTCCTCTTCCACTCCATCAAGAAGCTCTGCTGTGAAGAGAGAGGTGGGCTCCCATGCCGGGAACAACAAGGGCAAAGAAAATASTGCAAAGAAAAATCTGGTGCTCCTGAGGGCCTTGGTAAGTGTCACGGTATCACACTGCCTTTGTTGCAGGGTGTTTTGGAGGTTTGGAGGTTCTTCATTGCTGGGAAGACAGACGCAGACCCATTTGCTGCTTCTCGGGTTGTTTGTGTGGAGAACAGTAGGGTTTTGGATAGTAACCTCCCAAATACGATCRTAAGGATGTGGAATTGCCACCGTGTTCCCATTATCTTTGTTGCCTGGAGTAATCTGTTGAAAAATGGAAGTCAGCACTGGGGGAAAAAGCACAGTCCCTGCTCTGTGTATTGTGGGAATGTTTTGCTAATCCAGKGAGGAGCAAAATGTGAGAGTTTCTGAGTAGCAACGGTGCCTTTCTGCTCACAAAGGATACGCCTGTCCTGGTTTTCTTGTAGTAGTTATTACACAATCCTTMATGTGTTTGTTGCATTCTGGAAATGTTATGTCCTGGGTAGACCCTTAAGTCCTGGAGTCAAAACAACTGGGAATTTTACTATGTTAGGAAAAGAACATTTTAATTTTTCTCAGCCATCAAAAAATGAATCCGTCCTGATAATGGTGGCAACTGTGAATTTGGTAATTTCTTCATGTATTTGTTTGCAAATTTGCATGTCCTAAGTGTATAATCACTGGGATAATCAGCCAAGAAGAGGCCTCAGATGCCTCCCAATTAAAAGGTCTGCCTCTTGGTGGTTCAACCTTAAAGCTAATGGCAGAAGGACACAGTCCCAAAGCGTAGAGCCCATGGAAGGTTGTTTTGTTGTTCATTTTGCCTTGTCCCTCAGCATGGCTATTGCAAAGGACATGGTCTGGTCATGTTTTAAGACTCTGGGACTCAGGGACAGTTGAAGGCTTGGATGCCTCCTGTGGCAAGAGCTCAGTAGGATTAATTCTTGCTAAATGCATTAGTGAGCCAGGGACAGGAACCAAAGAGGTATAAGTACAAATGGTACTTGAAATGATTCCCACCCACGCCCCTCTCGACTGAAAGTCCTAACTTCAGTGTTTCTAAACAAAGACTATGGGKTTTTTTTAATAAGTTTCCTTCATCGATATTATTTTTATGTCTTTCCCCCCTTCTCTTCGCCTCCCATCAAGTGGTGTAAAAATGTGGCTTTTATTTCGGTTTTTAAGATGACACATCTCCCAGGAGCGTGTGGGTGTTGACATTCTATGGAGCTGTCACAGGCTATCATGTAAACATGTATTTGCAATGCTTTTTAAAATGTGAATTATTAATAAACAGAGTGGCTTGGGTTGTTTCTTTTTTTTTCTTTCTTTTTTTTTTTTTTTTTTTTTTTTTTTTTTTTTTTTTTTTTTTTTTTTTTTTTTTTTTTTTTTCCAGATTTTGAAGGACAAGAAATTGCTTCCCAGCTGACACTCTTGATGGCAATTTTCATTTCAGACTAAATCTCATGTGTCTGAGTGATAAACCTTTGAAAACATGGGCTTATAATGGAAACACTAATTCAACTTTAACTACAGCTGTGCCGTACAAGAAAAATACCACATACATTAATGAGGTKCTAAATCTGATACGGCAGAGGAATGTGTTGTAATCATTAATTACAATGGGAACTTAAAGCTGGAGCCTGCTTTTTCCGTTCAAATAAAATCGGCTTGGCGAGTCGGAGCTAAGAGTTATTTAAAAATACCACCTCTATATTTAGTTTAAATTTCACCGTGGCGTCTTGGTACTTGTAAAGTCAATATGGAATCTGTGTGTAGGAAATGCCAATGCTTTTAAAGGACAGCAGCATGAGGGAATATATTAAACCCCGGGCTAACACAGTGTGTCATATGGCGAATGTAGAAACCTGGAGGCTGAGCTCGGGCAGGGAAGCCAGGGAAGCTCTCCCAAAAGGAGTGTTGACAAGCAGGAGTTTGCTTCAAATTGGGAATCTGGCTTTGCTGGGTAGGAAGGAGCAGGATGGGGAGCATTTGTAACATGAGGTTTGTTGGTTAAGATTCACTTTTCCTCTTTTCAACTTTTTCTGGTGGGCTGTGCATATTCCAAGGAGATCCTGATACTCTGGTGTTCAACATGCAACTTGATAATGGCTGTTCTTCCCAGTTCTAAGATCTCATACTGGGTAAAGCTTTTTGATTCTCCACATCTGGAATTGAGAGTGTTTAGAATGTATCTGTCTAAATAGGAAAGAAGGCATTTTGCACAACTGTGACATCTGCAATTGGATGGATCCCCCCATGTAACAGCACAGACAAATGAAGGCTGTGGTCTGGGATGGGGTGTGTGGGTTCAGTGCATGAGCTGCTCCTCTTGYCCTTGGATCCAGCTTAGTTTTGACTTCTCTACCAATGAAGAGAGTTGGTAGAGGAACACGACCAAATCTGCCTCCTTTGCAGGTGTGCAGGCTGACATTTAGAAAATGAACTGTAAAATGTCACAGCCTCTTTTTTTTGTTGTTGTTTTTGCTTTCCTGTGTAGAGCCTCATCTCAGAACAAGGCAAGTGACAGAATGAAATAGGTGTTGCCATCATCATGGCTCTAGGATACATCTGGATGGTTTGTTCCTGATTTCATTTTAATTTAATGGTTTGTGTCCTTATAAACAGAATAAGATAAGGAAAAGATCATTGTGAAAATGAAGATTTTCTCCTTTGAGGAGACTTCAGGACAAAACCTCCTATTTACTGGGACACCATGGATGACAGATATTTGGTACTTTAGGCTTTTGTGGGTCCTGTTCTTGACTTGGTGATGAGTCCATCTCTTGAGCAGGGATGTGCTGCCCTGGCTGCTTCTCACTCAGCTGCAGGAATCTCCTCACTGGAGCTGATCTGGACACAGCCAGCCTGTCCTTAGGATGCACTTGGCACAACTCAGAGAGGCTGCAAAGGCAGAGAAGCTGGTAACCACACACCTGGCAGGAAGACAGCACAGAGCATATCAACCTTCCTTGACTATGCCCAAGTGTGTGCAGAAGGAACAGATGGTGGCATGAAGCAATCCTGGACTTTCTGGGGTGATGCAGAGCCTTGGAGTAGGTGATGTTGCAGGATATTTTAGTGAGGGAATGATTGAAAACCACGCCTTTAGAACCAGCTGGAGTGGTTCCTCACAGCACTCGTGGTCTTTAAGGCACTGGGACAGGGTGTTTGTGGGAAATGGCCCCTTGGAACATCTCTCCACACAAAGAAGAACTTTCCCTTGAGCAGAGGCTTGACAGATATCAGTGAGGTCTCATGAGAGATGTTTCGGTGCTGTGATGGTTTGGTGTCCCTTTCCATAATGTGGATTTCGAGCCCAAAAGGAGGTGCTGGTGTTCCTACACGTGGTGTTTTTAGTGTTGGGGGGCCCTGTACTTGAAAAGGTGGAGTGAATTTCACAGATTCCTGTGACAGTGGTGGGATAACCTTTGTGTAAAGAGCTGAAACCAACCACATGCTTCAGTGCTGMGGCTCAAGAAAGTGAAGGGTCCTCTTTGTTCTACACCATAACCTTTTTATAATGCTATGACCTTATACTGGGAAAGAAATTGTAGCCTAGTACACTATGCTTTATATGAAAATATCCCAGTTGCGCCTTGCCTTGAACACKTATTAAAGATATACCCTTGATGCGTGAAAACAGCATAAATATGATGAGGTTTGAAGGAATATTTTTCCCCCCCATTTTTCCTTCTGTTTTATCATCCATGAGAGCGCTTTCATTCCAAGTTCTCAAGCTGCTCTGCACAGCCACTGTTCCTGCCTCTGGGGCTAGCAGCACACTTAAATAAATAAATGGAGATGCAGCTCTTATATAAACCACTCATCTCCCATAGCTGAGGCTTTGAGGAAAGCATCAACACCTGTAGCACTCCCTGAGGGCTGGAATGTGAGCAGCACTGCCTGGGTGCTGCCTTTCATTGTCAGCGCTGCCCTGGGCCCAGGCAGACCCTGGGGACCCATCACATGCAGTGAGTGGGACTGTCACATGCAGCAGAGGCAGAGATTCGTGTTTAGAAACAAGAAACGTGGGCGGGTGTGACAGCACCAGTCTGGCTTCCTCCAAAGTTGTGGAAAACCCAGGGGCGTGCTTCTCCCAAGAAATACGATTGTGGCTGGTCCTTGTRGCTCTGATGCTGAGCACCCAGAAGATCCAAGGACAGGTTGGAAGTGAGCCTGAGGTTATTCCTGTCACCCAGCTGGGGTATGTAGCTCAGATTCTTTGCCCAGCCAGTGGCAGGAAGGAGAGGAACTTCTAAAAGGAAAGTTTCTCACTGTCCAGATGAAGATGCTCTCCTAAATTGCTTTTTCTCTCAGTTGCTTCCATAGAGGCAAGTGGGAAGAGTGACTGGCCATGGGACAGTGTGATTGCTCCCTCTGAGGTGTGCCCTGGATGTTGGAGGTGAAAATGGAGAATGAGATGAAGGATTAGAGTAGCTGAGGGAGCAGTCCCTAAGTCAGGAGGGACTGCTGAGATCTGTTGCTCCAAATTCCTTAAAATCCTTTGAATCAGGACCTGTTTTTCCCAGTGACCCCTCAGCCTCCCAGCATGGGCTGGGAAGCGAGAGGAGAATGGGAGCTGCAGGCTCGGCCATGTGCACACACAAGGATGGATCACCAGGATGCACCCGCCCAATTTTTATCTCCCAAAAAGCGCTGCCTGTGCTGCTCCAGAGGTCCACACGGAGCAATTCCCACAGGCTCTGCGAGGATGGAGTGTGTGCGTGGGGGAAGGACTAACAGGAACACGGTGACTCCGCCAAATGTTTCCAAAATATCTTCACTTTGTTAAGCAGCTAGACAGGCTCTCCCACTGCWAATTTCCATGCAAGTAATTGCTCTGATTGACCCCGGCTTGTTCACTTGCTGCAGGCTGGGTAGCACAATTGCGGGCGGGGTGGAATCTATGGGATCTGCTCTGGGGAGCAGCTTGACAGCGCAGGTGGGTGGGTTCGGGTGCTGCTGTAAATTGGTGTTTCTCCAGCCTTTTGAACTTGTGATTTCCTTTTGGCTCCTCTGGCTTCCTGCAAGCCGGCGAACGGCAGCAGCTCAATTACAGAATGTGCT